AACCTAAAGTCACATACCGCTAATTCGATGTATAATTGTGCTATTCTACTAAAAAATAAAGTAAAATAATTTTATCTTTTATTTTATTATGAAATAAATCCATTCCCAACTACATAGTCCGAAATCGAAAGAAGATATAGCAATGTTTACTTGACCCATCGTTCGAAAGACACTACCGAGGTCTGACTCTTATCTCAGACAAAAAAAAATCTATTTACTTCTTATAGAAATCATGCATTACAACAATATGTGTAATATACGAATATTCTCTTCAATATGAGAAAACGATAAATAGAAAAAAAATCATTAATTGTATTGATGTGCAAAGAACAATCGATATGAGATATCGACCACAAAACAACATCCAGATCATTCCAGAGAATGATAAATGACATCATGATAGCTAATTTATAAAATATTATTTTGTAGTAGTGTTGGAGTTATTTCATTCATTAATTGGAAAGAACTATAAAGGGTACAAATCACGATTTTTGGGGTATACTAATAATAATTTGATACCCAAGTCTTTGTGAAACCGAGCATTAGAATTTGTTAATAAACTTTCTCTACTAGGACTTGATCCAATATTTTAATAATAAAACACTTAGAGCTATGGACAGCATGATCTCAATCAGCAGTGAAATCAGTTATAACTCGGAAAAGACATGGCAATATGTTGCTCTTATCCAGAATTGCAGGATCAATAGAATTTTTAGAAATTGTAATAATAAATTTATGACGGGGAGACATGCAAACCATTTGGGTTGCCATCAACAAAATGCCAAGATCTTTAAAAAGTCTTGTTATAAAACAATAATAATGATTAACAATTCTTAACACTTATCTTTAAACTTGATAATCCAGAGTTTGGCAAAAGACAAAATATGGCAGAAAACATTCAAATTTTCAATACTAAACGATAGATGAGTAGAAATTTACTCCTAACTGTTTAGATCAATTATGTTCCTGACAATTTAAAAAAAAATCAATATATTAAATTATCATTATAACATTCATCAATATCAATACTATTAATTAATCAATTTTCATTTCTATTATTACTACGAGTAAAATTTTGGGTCTGTGTTTAAAAAAATGTCCAGTTACATAAGATTATTAATTAATTAAAAGATAATGTCAAATTTATCATTAAGTAAGTAATCTAAGATTGTTTACAATGTCTTTAAAACAATAATTACTCTTTTAATCAAACCAAAACTATATTATTCAAAACATCGTCGTATCAATGACCCCCAATCGAGTCGTAAATATCTTGTGGTAGAATAATCATATTTTAAATAAATATTTGTAGAGTAATTAAGTAAAAGTAATAATTAAATAAAAAATAATCAGTCAAATCTTGAAAATGCAATTGATTCATAGTGTGTGAATTTTTAATATATTTTTTTTCAAAAATTTCAAAATTTTTATTAAACTATTATAAAGAATTTCAATAAAGTTTGTCGTAATAAAAAATTTACGACTAATTTTCTTAATAAACCTAGAGATATTTGGTATATATATTATAAATTGATAACCTTGCAAAAGAGTCTCTTGTTTAATTGCATATAATTTGCTATGGCATTTTAGATTCAGCTGAATTTAGCTGGTTTTAGCCAATAAATTCTAACAAATATCCATTGCAATCTTTTAAAAAAATATGTTTGTGCTACTTAATCACATATCTCAAATATTTAAATACCATTTGTCAATAATATTACACATGTGCTTAATAATTTTACCAGTAATTTATCGCCGATCTTTGCCACCAATACATAAAAATCATACAGGATAATTTAAAATGTAGCAATACATAATTTATCTTCAAAATTCTCTTGGAATTATTAAAATACAAAATTTCCGACGTTAATCTCTATTGGTCGTAAATTAGATTAAACACTTTTTGCTCGAGCTTTTAGTATTTTTCGGTGAACCAGAAAAAATTGCGTAATTGACATACAATGTTTGTAAATATTAACATGTGCCTGCATTCTGATAAATCTTGTTTTGTCTTGGTTTATAAATTTGATTATTAAATTAATGTTAATTTGCTTGTATTTGTAGAAATTATTTGCATGAAAGCATTTTTTGTTGATCGATTTTAATGGAATTTGAAAAATGCATAATAATAATGGTGATAATAATTTTATGATGCGCGATTTGTATAAACAAATACATATTTTTGTCGAAAGAATGTTTAACACGTAAATTGCCATGTCAGACAAATGTCTGACATACTTGAATTGATATAAAGAACAAAAAAAATTAATATAGAGCCATGTCGCAATAGGAATTGCGGCAAAAAAAAATTCTTCGATACATAAGTTTTCTTGATCCATTTTTAACAAAATTATTTAGTAAAGTCTTCATGGTCCATGTGAAAATTTTCTGATATCGTAATAATTAACGTGTTAAAAAATATATATTTTTTAATAATTTTAAATAATATTTATGTTAAATCAATGGACAATCTATAATGTAGAAGAAATGGGTTACAATAAATTTATTTAAATGCATTTCATACTGTAGATCACTTCAAGTGATTTTAAAAGTAAATTAATTTTAATATAATTAGTTTATTAAAATTTTAAACTATGTACAAATATATTATAAAATAATCATTATATAAATAAATATATCTGTTAAATTATATATCGAAATACTGAAATATATGTATCTAGAAAATATTAATGAAAGAATTTTAGTCATAAGGGCAAAATTTTTTATTAATTCAAAAACGGTTTGCAAAATAAAATTTTTGAATCAAGTTGAATATTAGGCAAGGATCAGCCGAGCCGTTTCTTCGCAATTTGGAAAACAATTAGTTCATGATTCTATAAAACTTTGCGATAGAGTTCATGGTATTAAGAAACGTTTAAAAAAAAGTTATAGGTCTACAAAAAGCATATTAATTGGAATTTAAAAGCTTCAACATGATGATATGTACAAATCGGGCTGATTATGCAACTTTTCTTAAGAAAAAATTTCATTTACACCTAGTTTTGCATGCACTTTGAATTACATGTAAAAATGACTTTGTTTTATCAATAATAAATTTTTATGTATGCAATAAATTTTAATTAGTCATTTGCAAAAATTGTAAGATTGTTTAGAACAAATCCATTGAAATTCGGGGCAAAAAGTTTGGCATTCAAACTTTATTTTCACAACTCATGAATATTTGATCTTTACAATTTGAAAAGTTACACATATCTGGTTTATGCATCTTCCCTTACGACTAAATGCCACTTACACCTAGTCAATGAAAATTTTCTCTCACCTGTATCATTACATATCCCATTGCTTTTAGAATGTCTCCCATTCAGCTTTTCTTCACTGTTTTCCGAATAATTTACAAACATATCTGTATCACGATAAAATCTCTATCACGATAATATTTTAGTATCACTTTTATCACAATTCACTGATAAAATTAATTTTGACCTCCCTCAACTTTTTATACTGTACTAAATATCTTATATATGTGTTCTTGTTCCCGTCACATTTGTTAATGAAATTAATAATCGTGCGCAACTTGGTGCAATGCAAAGAATATTGTGAATTACTTGTTAATTGTTTGCATTTAGCATACAACGGTGATATTTTTAGATTAATTGTTTTATCTATTTTTATTTAGATACTTTTTATTTATGCGAGGAAAAATACACAGAGATTGTTGGTGAGTCCGTAAGACACGCGCTAGATAAAATTGTTTTATATCCATACTTTTATTTTTATCGGTAAAAATATTCCAGTAGTGTAAATTATAATTAATTTTGTATGATAATTATTTATTAACATTTTGAAAGAGATGTTTATGGATTCCGAAATGATAATTGTATATTGTCTCGATGTTTCAAGAAGTTCTGAATCGTTTGACTCCAAAATTTAAAACGGTTTGTGTATAGAAATTGAATTTTGACATTTGGTAAATGCCAGCTGCACCTAGTTTATTTATTTCTTTTATCTAATTTTAGATAACTAAATTAGATATTTTTAATAATTTTGTGGAATGAAATACTATTGTTATCAAAAATCTTACATCAACTGAAAACTCTTGCCGATTTAGTCGATTCAAGAATTACATATGTTATGTATTATAAAAATGATTACAAATTATAGTTGCTTGCATACTGAAGGCTCAGAAGTAATTTTGGAATAATTTGTATATGAAATATTTCTGTTTCTTCAGTTCATTGCTTGAAATTTAAAAGATTTAAATAAATTTTCTATCTAGCCTGCATCTAAAAATTAAAGATCAACATTGTTTTATATTTTATGAAATGTCTATTTCAATTGATTGAGGTTGAAGATGAGTTTATCTATTGGTTCAGAACCACTGATTTGAATATTATTTAAACAATCCAAAAATTTTATAAATAAAAATATATTTTCCCACATCTGTATTACAAATTATGCATATTAATATTATATACAATAGCTCCATGTGCATAACTAACATAATTATAATGTTCTTAATTAATAACTTTCTTAAATTATTTATAAGTGCTATAAATATTTCTCACTTCAATTTACAACATTATTATACACATATAGTAGAGTATAAAATGTATAAAAAATCTAACACACCTTATTACTATATGTTTAATTTAATGGAGTTTACTTTGAATATTAAAATTAAGGTTTATACAAATTATTTTATCATTTATTTCAAACAAGGTATAGATTTATAGTTTTTTACATTAAAATCTTAAGTTTTTTTTTAAAGTACTTTATATATGAAGTTCATAATTCTTGTATGTAATTTTTGATAATTTGCTCAAATATTTGTATTTGCCATAATCAGTCCTTATATTAATATTTATTGCATAATTTCTTTGTCAAGTTCATTTTATAAACAAACATCGCGCTCTTTATACATACATTCCAATCTACTTATAAAATCTAATAAAATCTCAATTTTTTTATCCAAATCATCTTCAATCACTGATGATAAAAACCTTGGTTCAATTTGTTAATTCTTCCTAAATCCATTACATTTAAGTTGTCGCCGTCGTAATAGCATTCATAGGATTGATAGCATTAACAGCATTAATATTATTATGTCCTGCAGTTTCAGTGACCATAGACGTTGTGTCTTCAGATTCCTTGATGGAAGATTCCTCTGGATCAAGTCCCCACAAAGTTCGGTACCTTTTTGAAATTGCCTCCCAATCGGCGACGTTTTCGATGCGCATTGTGTTCGCCGTGAAACTCACCTGAGATCCGAGTGGACTCAGGTGGACGACTGACAAGGCTACAGGCTCTGGTAAAGGTAAAGAAATGGGATTTTTTAAGTATTATGCATTCCTAGAACATGCAAGTTGATATAATGGAAGATTCAAGATGATTACCTCCTTTTGGCCCAACTTGTCCTTTCTTAACCTTAGATAACCATTTGGCACCAGCTTTTGTCCTCGGACTTCCCTGCGACCTCTGCATTCCGCTCATCATGTGAATCAAACTTGGTTTCTTTTTCTTGGTCATCTTCATCTAAAGACGATACTCATTTCGTAGTTTCATATTTAGACAATTATTATTATTTTACTGCAATATTACCTTGCAAGCGTTTACTATCCATATGAACCACGTGGTTATAAGATTTAGTGGTGAAGGTGCAGTGCTCGTCCGATGCATATTTCGAATCAGTTTTGATAATCCAAACTTCCATTCGATATCAGATTGAGCCTAAATTTAGAATGAAAATAGTAATAATTGCTTAGCATTGAGAAGCTTTTTTCATACATTTTATCTGCTTGATTTTAATTGGTCTTTTTTAGTAAACAACCTAATTATCTTGGATAATCACCAATTGTACTTTATCCAAATATGCAATAGAATATGTAACAAAATAGTATAATGAAATAATTCATAAAAAAACATTTCAGTAATATAATTTAATGAACAGATTCAATTTTTTTATTATACTTACTTACCAGTATATATTTGTTTTTTATTATGTCTTGTTACCTGTATTCTTTGATATGTATCCGACATCATAGCAATCAACAGATTGATAAGTACAACAACTGACACCAACATGTAAATTCCGAATACAATTTTATAAAGATATATGGTCCATGCTGGTTGTATTTTTATACTTTGTTCTCTTGTTTGATCAGTAGTCGTTTGGCCGAAAACGGCAAAGAATAATAATTCGAATGAAGATATTGGATTTAGAGTCACTATTAGATGAAACCAATCCAATTGGTAAAATGACAAATTAAGAAAATAAAATTAGGATCCAATACAATTTCCAGTTAAAATATGTCCATGTTTTGGTCCAGCAGTTCCAGATCCATAGTCCATCATCAGTTATCGGAAATAAAAGAAAAACAAAAACAAACAATTAAAATCCTGGTGTAATTTACCTGTATACGTTGATATGTATCAGACATCATAGCAATGAGAAGATTTATAAGAACTACAACGCTGACGAGCATATAAACTCCAAAAACAATTTTGAATAAAGCTTGGGTCCATTCGGGTCTGCTCTCAGGGACGTAGTTGAGGTCATCAGGTGTTGTCTGGCCAAAAACAGCAAAGAAGAGTTTCTCGAATGCATCTATCGGGGTCATCTTGGCTGCCGAAAGGCGAAAGGAATGAAATTTTGGGGAAAATGTGTTTTTTTGGACAATTGGATGCTTGTGCATAACTAAAATAAACACTTTATTTGACTTCGTTTGGAAATCATCAATCAAACTTAATGCAAATCATATAAGACCAATTAAAGCTGTACATGAAATAAAAAATATATAGGTACATGCCAAGAAGCAAATTAATATAATAACTTCAGATGGTATTAAATAAAAAGGTATGCAAGAAAAAACTCAAGAAATTTATTTAAAATCTAATACATTATATTCAAAATTTAGCATTGAAACAAATTTAAAGCAAAAAAAACTAAAAGTAAAAATCTCACCTCAAACAAAGAACATCGAAGTGCATAGAACAGATCGGGCATTTGGGACATTTTCACAAAATGATTCTAACACTTCTAAAAACACATATCTACAAAACTGTCTAAGCATTCTTATTTGTAAAAAGAATATGTATGTAACTCTTGCAATATATTCAAATTGTGTATTTATACACACAATATGTTTGTTCAACCATATTCTTTTTATTTCTGAATCCTTTACGACTGCAACATCCATGTGATGTGTATTTTTTCTATAAAATTAGTGGATTTTTCTAAAACACAAATATTTGCTCACTAAATTCACAACAAATTGGGTAATGAAGTGCCTGCAAAATAAATCCATGAATTAATTCAATGAATGTTTTATTTGGCTGAAATGAAATGATTCATTATTTTTGTAAAAAATAATTATGTTGCGACCTGTGAACAAATAGAACATTTCTGAAAAATATTCCATTTACAGGGATGTGTAATACGAAAACATGTAAAATCACTGAAAGCACACAAGAGGAAGGAAGACGTCACAAGAGCGATTTTTTTTTTAAATCACAAACAACTAACAAATACATTGATTTCAAACAAATGACGGGACGATCACAATTTTAGCACACGCGAAACTCTAACATCAAACAAATTTTGGTTGTGAGAATACTTTGAGGAAAACTAGATAGAAAAAATTCTACATTTGTATAAAAAGTTTGCCAAAAATGAGCAATGGAAAGCAACGTCCACTTCTGGCTTGTACTTTTTATATTTTTGTCTATTTGAATTTTTTGTTTTTATTTTTGGGATTAAACTAAAATTAATAATGATGTGACAATGGTTTATGTGATATATTCTGTAAAATGTTCCTGATTTAAATTAATTTTAATTCAATTGATTTGATTTATCAAGGTTTTCATCAATCTAATTTTTGTATTTATCCAACCAAAGCTGCATTAATATATTAGAATTTGCACAACCTCTGAAATATGGTTAGTAAATCAAAAATATAACATATTTCCATTATCACAAATAGTTTTCCTCAAAGATTTTCACAAAAATCGTCTTCACTTACTCCCTGGTCTGTGCTTTCGTCGATAGTGTCCGTAATAATAGGTTCTAGTGGTATTATGCCAATCAGGCAACCATTCTGCATCAGTAGATCGAGGCACTCTCTCCTTAGAACCTATATTTTATTAATAATCAAATGAATAAAGTAATATTATTAATGTAATACCTAAAATAGAAAAAAGGAATTAGTCGCACTAATTGAAAAAACAGTCTTACACTTATTGCAATGTAAACTAAAACCTATTTTTGAATTTCAAATTAAATTAATGCAAGCAATTGAGTCAATTAGTCTATTTAACTAATACTCTTATGAATTAAGAGTACTTGTTTTCTTAATTATTATTATTTAATGACACAATATTCGACCTTCTCCCATAAATAGAAAATCGCTTCAAATTATTATTGTTTAATAAATAAATAAGCTTATATTGCAATTGCAGTTATCTTCCAAATGTAAATAAGTCTCAAGGTGATTTATATAATCTCAATCACATTAACGTAATTGACGTATCAGTAAATGTTTATGACTGACCGTTGAATGTGTTTAATATTATCACTTATTTGGTACAATATTATATTGAACTGAAATTTTGATACTGACCGTCGCTAAAATATCCTTTATCCTGGCGATTTAATTTTCTAATGGCATCTGGAGACAATTTATTCTCAAAAGGCTGATTCAGTGCAACAATGTGCATGGAGAAACCAAACACGAAGATTGCTAATACAGCAAGAAATCTTGCCAAGTCTTTGAGCAAATCTCCAATGATTATAGCCCAAGGTCCAAAAAGATGATGGAAGGATAAAAAATCTAGAATCTGCACACAAGCCAGAAGAAATGATAGTGCAAAGCACTGGTTTCGGCAATACATCAATGTTGCCCAATATTGTTTTTCTACGAAAACTATTCCTGATAGGTGCACACCAACACCACAAATTCCAAAAAGTAAGACCATCAATTTTATGGAACCCAATCCTGATTTATCACTTGGATTTGTGAGTTCAAACAAAAGTAAACCACTGAGCCATATTAAAAGTCCCCATTCATACCTGTAAATATATTTGGATCAATATAAATACTTCTTTCATTATTGATTTATATTTCATCTTACCAATATGGTAGAAGACTAGCTCGGACGACTGGATAAATAGGTGTGATGCCAACAATCATAAGATGTATCATGAGGTATATGTGCGATGTCAAGTATGACATGAATTTTATTATTGGTACTTTATTATATTTATGTCCTAATGGTAAAGTGAATACCACCCAAACTGGTGGCACTATGATGAAAACGAAAAACAGCAACATGATTTTCCACGCCGGCCAGGTGAGTGATCCTCGCCAGAGTTCCTAAAATGATAAATTGACTTAGGAAATCGTTTAATAAATTACATAGATGTGATTTAAATTAGGAGCATTATTTTTTATACATAACTGGGGTTGTCAGATAGATTCTTATAAAATTCTGTTATATATTGTTTTATTTAAATAAATTCAAATTGAACATGAAACCTGATATCAACATGTTCTACAAAATTTTGATGAATACTACAGATAATGAATAAATTTGACATCCAATGTCTGACAACCCCACTTAGGACCCACCTGAAGATACCTCTGTACAACTGTATGAGCAATAACTTCCTTTTGTTCATTTTCGATGAGCACGTCCAAAAATTCTGTATTCATTCGATCTGTTGATGTCAATACCCTACCAGCAGAATCTGCTCCTGCTGCTAGAGCTAATAATTCAGTCGCCATCGTTTCGCATTGCTTTCCTGCAGCAATCAAATCTTTGGCTCGTTCTTTTTCCTATAAAAACAATATAGAAATACAAAAGTTAATTTATTCTAAGTGCATATCTTTGGTTAATTCACCTTAGTTGATAAATTCATATAAATATTTGACAATTTGGCAGCTGTGTCCACTGGCGCTGGGCTAACCAGGACAAATTCTTCTATAGGTTTATTCCCATGATTTTTTGAGCAGACCATTAAATTATATACAAATCTACGATCTTCCATTAGACCATAGGTGTCATGCTCTTTAGTCATTAGATACTTTAAAACTTCATTGTGACCTTCGGAAGCCGCAAACCAAATAGGAGCGCAACCGTGATTTGTTTCACTTTTCGGTGATGCTCCTGATTCACATAACAACTTAACAACCTGGATAAGATATAAATAAGTAATTTGTTCAAGTACTATTCAATAACCATTTTATTATTCTATTAAAATATTATTATCAAACCTCTAATCTTCCAGCCTTAGCGGCACAATGCAAGGGCGTCCAGCCATTTCGGTCCGTCGCGTTGATCTCAGCCCCTTGTCCCAATAAAACTTCTACCATTTGATAATGACCATGTGTGGATGCTATATGGAGACCAGTTTTTCCATGTCTATCTGCACTATGTAGAAGTTCTGCAGATCTACTCAGAAGAAGACCTACGACAGACATGTGTCCTCCAAAACATGCCAGATGTAAAGGATTGTAACCCTAAAAAAGTAATTCATGACAAATATAAACTTACAAATATAAAACTAATATTTACCAATAGATTTTTCTTATTATATTACATTTTCAGTTGTAGCAGCATCGACTTGCACACCAGCAGAATTCAGAAGTAATCTGACAACGTTTTCATTTCCTGAATAAGCTGCAAGATGAAGCGGAGTCATACCAGATTCTGCACCTAATTCTCCAACAAGTGAAGTTCCAGTTGGGGCGTCAGATTTTACAGTTCCAGGTACATGAGTTAACAATTCACGAACGGTATCTATAAAACAAGATATATTATTTTACATGAAAATCATATAAAATTAACATCTGCATTTTACCAAATATCAAATTATTACCTGCTTGTCCAAAATAAGCAGCAACATGCAGAGGTGTTAATCCTAACTTTTTACTAGATATTCTGAGAGAATTTGTTGATCTCATAACTTCTAAAACAGTACCATGTCCATTTTGTGCAGCAAGATGAACAGCTGTAAAACCAGCTTTGTTTTCTTCCGTACATGATGCTCCTGCTCTAACTAAAGCTTTAACAACCTTAAGAAAATTGAATATTAGCAAAAATATTATCTCCGAATATTTGGATCTATTGGTTTTACCTCTGCGTGGCCACCTTCTGCAGCCAATTGCAATGGTGTTGAATCTGTTATTTTATTTCGAGCAGAAATCACTCCGTTCCTATCAAACTTCATCAATTCTTCTATCACACGAACACTTCCTTGCATGGCTGCTATGTGGGCACATGTATTTCCATCCTTACTCGTAGCTGTCACTAATACTGGATGTCTTTGGAGAAATAATTTGGCAACGTCTGAAAAATTATTTTGCGCGGCTACGTGAATGGGCTTTTGACCTAAGTCGTCGGTTGCATCTATGTTGGCTCCGAGATCTAAGAGTAACCTAATAATAAAATTAGAAATAATTTGTAAAATAAATTGCGAATGAATTCAAAACAATAATATTATTCTTTATTCTCACTTGCAAACTTCAAGTTGACCACTAGCAGCAGCAAGGTGAAGTGGCGTTTGTTTCCTCAGTGTTAAAATATCTATCACAGCATTATGATCCCGAATTAAAAATCGAACTAAATGCGCAAAACCATTCATTGCAGCTAAATGAAGAGCTGTTCGTCCAACTCGAGACTTTGAATTAATAAATGCTTTATTCGTTAGCAAAGCATCACAAACCTAAAAAAAATTGACATATAAGATCATTCTTGTTTAAACATGTCGCATATCCTTTATTACCTGTAGGTAACCATGTTCTGCTGCCAGATGTAAAGCAGATCTGCCTTCAATATCAAAAACGTCTACCCTCGCATGATTTGCCAAAAGATTATTAACTAATTCCATATGACCCCTGTTGCAGGCGATTAGCAGTGGCGTCCAACCTGCTGCAGACTGTCTATTCATGGCTTTTTGGATATCGGTGGCTGACATGTGTGCTATCATTTCAGACATAATATCGTTGTTTCCTGCCATTGCACAGTAATGAAACGCTGATTCCTGACCAGGACGGGTTACCAGTGATACATCTGCTCCGTGCATTATTAGTATTCGGACGATTTCTTTGTCTGAACCAGGTATTTCAACCTAGAAAAAATATGATAAATTCAATTATCTGAAACAAACTTTTTTATATTTATATGGTACTTCACAAACCATTTACCTTGTCAGAACTGATGTTGCAAGCACAATGCAAAGCTGTTGCACCTTCATCATTTGTTAAATTAATGTAATTTGTGGCTATTTCTGCTCCATGTTTTGCTTCTACCAAATCTATCAAATGTTTCACGATATCTGCTTTGCAACTCCGACATGCTAAATGCAGTGGTGTTTCTCCATTCTAAAATAATAAACCAGGATTTCTTTAGTTTCAAATTTAACCAAATCAGACACTAATTCAAATAGAATATTAAAAATAAAAAATTAAATAGTAATTTTGCTGAAGTTGCAATATTATATTAATATTTTGTTCTTACTTTAGATTTACACAATGGATCACCCCCATCCTCCAACAACAGAAGCAAAGTCGCCAAATTACCATGTTGTGCAGCCACGTGCAAAGCAGTATATCCGTCTTCAGTGGCATGGTTTGGCGCTGCTCCTGATTTTAGGAGCATCAGGGCGCATCGGTCACCATCAGGAACACGAGCGGCAATATGCAGCGGAGTTTCGCGTTGTTTACCGCCTCGGACATGAACTTCAGCTCCATAACCTAGAAGGGTTTCGACCACTGCTGGTTTTGCAGCTTCTACAGCTATGTGGAGGGCCGTGTAATTGTCCTAGTGAGTAGAGATT